AATAGGCATACGGATGTACATAAATACGTGCATGTATACGTGCGTAAGTGTATACGTACATACGTTTAAACGAGCATACGCGCATGCGTACATACATAGATGCATGCCTACATACCCATACATGTATATATATATATACACATCCACACATGTATGCATGGGCAAAAACAAATATACATGCATACATGCATGTACGCATAGAAACATAAGTACACACATACCTGCCTGCATGCGCGCATTCATGCATACAACTTTACATACATGCATACATACAGACATACATACATACGTGCACACATGCATGCCTGCATGCATGCATGCATGCACACATACATACATGTATGCGTGCATGCATGCATACACGCGTACATGCGTACATACATACATAAGTCCGTACGTACATACGTATGTATGCACATACGTACATGCATAGATCCATACATACATACATGCATGTATGCATGCATCAATGTAGACATACATACATACATACATGCATTCATGCATGCACGCACATTTACATACAATGACACATGAATGCGTGCATATCTACATACATGCATCATACAGACAGACAGACAGACAGACAGACAGACAGACCAACATACAGACATACATGCATCCAAACGTACATACACACATGCAAACCTATATACGTGCATGCATGCATACACACATGCACACATAGATACATGCATGCATACATGCATACATGCATACACACACGTACATGCGTATATACGTACATACGTACGTACGTCCGTACATTACATACATACATACTTACTTACAAACATGCATACATATATGCACGCATGCATACATACATACATACATGCCTGCATGCACACATACATACATACATACATACATGCATACATACATACATACATACATGCATGCATACATGCATGCACGCATGCATGCATGCATGCATGCATACAGACACGCAGATATACATGCACATACATACACACATGTTGGCGCTGCGGCCACGCGCGCAGGGGCGCGGCGAAGGAAGTCAGGCGAAGGGATGCGCGCGGCTGGCCTGGGTCACGCGGCGTGGGGGCACTGCATCCGCCCATGGGGGATCGACACTGCCACTCGCGGGGGGGCTACGCGAGGTTTTGTGCTGGTGGGGCCAAGGAGGTGCAGCGGCAGCAAGCAGCCAACGGCCGCGCGAGGGGAAGACTGGGAGACGGGGAGAGCCGTGCAGCAGGCAGGGAGACGGGGAAGCGAAGGAGAGCACAGCCACAGCACGAGCGCGAGGGCAGGGCGCGGAAAAAACGGCCGCACGGGAGGGCCGCAGGGGGATGATAGTGCAGGCAGACGGGGCTCTGGGTGAAGGCAGGCGACAGGATGAGACACACACACACAGACGTACAGTCGGACTTGATGGGAGAGGGCACGCGAGAGGACAACAAGACTCTTCCAAGGGCTACAAGGACCACAGGAATGTAGATGGCACGGGTCTCTGAAGACAGGACACAGGGCTACCCTGGACTTGGCAGGGTCGACCTACTAATCAAGGCCGACTGTACACACACACACACTGAGATCCGACACACCCTGAGGTCCGACATCGCAGAAAACTGCCACACCGCGAGAACTCACGACCAGAGTTCTAGACTTAGGTCAGGCATGTCCCCCTACAGGCAGTTTCGGACGAAAAATAAAACATTGTCAAATAATACTTCAACATGGAAGCACATAATCAAAAAATCGTCTCCAGACTACTTTTTGACTACGCTTGAATACTCCTCCTGTAGAGACACGGGCCCGACTTAATTCGAGACCCCATCCCTCTGCTGGACCTCTCCAGCCGGATCGACCCGTGATGGCCCCAGGACCCCAGGCGTGGCGGGATCACCGGGCGCGCAACAACAAAAAAAGCGCCAGGCCGACGCCCGGCTCTCGGGGCTCAAGGCCTCCCCGGCGCTGCGCCCGCCGCTGCCGGGAGCGCCGCTCGGGGGGCCACGAGCCGCTGGTCCTCTCTGATCCTTCGACGCGTTGCACTTCGGGTCCGAGGAGGGGGGGGGAGGCTGCGTTCGACGATAACTGTAGCCGACAGGAGCCAGGAACCAGGAGGCCAGGAGGAGAGGAGGAGGAGGAGGAGGAGGACGACGAGGAGCCACTCAGTGACATCACCCTGCTTGGGGGCCCCTCGGAGCCGCCGGTCCTCTCTGATCTTCGACGCGTTGTACTTCGGGTCCGAGACCAGCGGGTGGCCCATGGACGCGAAGTGCAGCCTGCGGAATGCAGGTCTGGGGGCGTGCCTCCCCCCTCCTCTTCCTCCTCCCCCTCCTCCTCCGCCTGCCCCCTCCTCTTCCTCCAGCGCCCCCGAGTCGTCGCCAGCCTTTTGGCCGCCTCCGCCACCGCAACTGCGGAGCGGCAGCGGCAACAAGGGCCTCCACAGGAGAAGCTGCGATCATCAGCACCGTCATCACCAGCATGATAGTCATCATCGTCATCAGCATCGTCGTCATCATCATCACCACCACCAGAATCACCACCATCTCGTCATCCTCATCACCATCGCCACCAGCATCGTCATCCTCATCCCAAACCTCAACCTCATCATCATCATCATCATCATCATCATCATCATCATCATCATCATCATCATCATCATCATCATCATCATCATCATCATCATCATCATCATCATCATCATCATCATCATGATCATCATCAGTATTTTCCTGATCATCATGCGGATCAGCATCATCGATCCCGCCCCCACCACTATCATCCCCATCCCCATCCCCATCATCATCATCAGCAGCAGCATCATCATAATCATCATAATCATCATCGTCATCATCGTCATCATCATAAGCATCATCATAAATCACCACTATCATCATCAGCAGCGCTGCTCTGATCGTGCAAATCGTCGGTGTCATCGTCATCATCATCATCATCATCATCATCGTCGTCATCAGCATCATCATCATCATCATCATCATCATCATCATCATCATCATCATCATCATCATCATCATCATCATCATCATCATCATCATCATCATAAGCATCTTCAATATCATCATCATCATCATCATCATCACCATCATCAACGTCATCATCCCCACCATAATGAACATCACCATTGTCATCGTCGTCGTCGGCCCGATATTCTCAAAGAGGCCTCCCGGAACATCTGGCCGACTGCTAGGGGGGTTTGGGGGGTGAAGGTCCTCTCCAGGCCCTCTTCTATCGCTTCGGGAACTCCTTGGGCCGTCTGGAGGGTGTCCGGAGGCCTGAGAGGCTGGCCCATCGAGAGCGAAAAGGCGAGTTCTTCAGAATCTGCAGTGCCCCATTTGTTCTTGAATGATTCCGACGTCCAGTTGGACTCTTGTGAGCGTCTTGGGGGCATCTTGGAGGCCTCTTGGGGGCCTCTGGTTGCTGCCTCGGGGCCTCGATGGGGCTTCGCAGGCTGTCTTGGGGCGCTTTAGGCCCGTCCGACGCCTGCGGAGGCCGTCAGGCTGGGCTCTTCGAAATCGCTTGGAACCTTTTGAGAGGCTCTTGGCGGCTCTTGAAAACGTCTTGGTGGCCTCTGGGGCTCCTCTTGGTGCTTTCTCGGGCAACGTGGGGTTTTTCCTCCAGCCTCAGAGGCGGCCGCCGGATTGAGGAGAAGGAGTTAGACACATCATCCGTGTCATGATGATAATAATCACCATCATCGTTACCGTCACCGTTATACTCAGCATCCGCATCCTCAGCATCGTCACCATCACCGTCGACATCATCGACGTAACCATCGGCGCGAACACCATGAACCGCATCAGCGTCATCAACCTCATCAACCTCATCAACAACAACAACAACAACAACAACAACAACAGCAACAACAACAACAACAACAACACCATCATGAGCATCATCATCATCATCATCATCATCATCATCATCATCATCACTGTCACCAACACCATCATCAGCATCATCAGCAGCATCATTATCAAAATCATAATCAGCATCAGCATCATCATCATCACCCTCATCCTCATCCTCATCTTCATCCTCATCCTAATCATCATCGTCATCATCATGATCATCATCAACATCCTGAGCATCAACATCGCGATCATCAACATCATCGTCATCACCATCATCTTCATCATCGTCAACAATAAACACCTCAACAATGATCATCGCCACCAACATCACTGTCATCATGAGCAACATAAGAACGGTCACTATCGCCAGCATCATCGCCATCACCACCATCACACCCACCATCACCATCACCGTCAGCATGACCATGACCGTCACCGTCGTCATCATCCTCAGCATCGAAGGAGCATCATCAGCAGCATCAACACCGCCCTGGCCATGATATCCACCCCCCTCTGATTATCATCTCCTCTTGGCCGCCCCCGAAGTTCGAGCCCCAGGACCAACAAAAAAGGAGCTCTGGGACGAAGGCCTGCCCCCTGAGAGGCGGTCGGGGCCTCCCTGGACCGCGGGCCGGAAAAATCGGGCCAGGGCGCACGTCTGAGCCTGCAGTCCGTGCCCGCTCGCGTCGACCAGGAGGGTTGGGCCTCCTCCTCCTCCTCCTCATCATCATCAGCAGCATCAGCATCATCATCATCAGCAGCAGCATCATCATAATCATCAGTATCATCAGCAGCAGCATCATCATCATCTCAGCATCAGCATCATCAGCATCAACATCATCATCATCATCATCATCATCATCATCATCATCATCATCATCATCATCATCATCATCATCATCATCATCATCATCATCATCATCATCATCATCATGACTAGCATCAGCATCATCATCATCCTCATCAGCAGCATCATCATTGACAGCATCAGCAACAGCATCAGCATCAGCATCAACATCATCATCACCATCAGCAGCAGCAGGAGCATCAAAATCAGCATCAGCATCAGCAACAACATCATCATCAGCAGCATCGTCACTACCATCATCATCATCATCATCATCATCATCATCATCATCAGCATCATCATCATCAGCAGCAGCAGCATCATCATCAGCAGCAGCATCACCAGTCATTAGCATCGTCATCATCATGAGCATCATCATCAGCAGCAGCGTCATCCTCATCCTCATCCTCATCCTCATCCTCATCCTCCTCCGCTTCCTGCTCCTCCTCCTCCTCCTCCACCTCCTCCTCCTCCTCGTCCGCTTCCTCCTCCTCCTCCTCATTCGCCTCCTCCTCCACCTCCTCCTCCTGCTCCTTCTCCTCCTCTTCCTCCTCCTCCTCCTCCTGCTTCATCTTCTTCCTCCCCATCCTCCCTGAGGCAGCCGAATCTGGTGCTGCCGCCCGTGGTCTATCTGCACCTGCACCAGGGTGTACGACGAGCCTCCACCACGAGGGGGGTGGGGGGGGGGCAGGCGTGAGCAGGGGGGGCAGGTGCCCAAGGGAACCAGCAATAGAGGCCTCCTAGATGGGGTCCGAGTAAATGGGGTCGGAGGATCTCGCCGCATCGCCGATAAATCAGCGATGCACTGGCGACGTCGGCGATGCATCGGCGACGTCGGCGCGGATAGAAGTGGACCCCACGTCGGGCCGCATCGGCCACGCATCGCCGATGCATCGGCGATGCGGCACGATCCTTCGACCCCATCTACCCCGATCCCATCGAGAAGGCCCAGAAGCACGAGAGGAGGCGGCGTGGAAGCGGAGGGGCAGTGGAGGCAACAGCGGGCGGCAACAACAGCAGCAGCAGCCTGAGGCAACATGCGATATCCGACTGGACGGGATCGGGGGCAGCCAGCTGCTTACAACCGGGCAGGGGGGGAGAGGCAACGCGGGGCGCGGCTGGGCAAGACGCCGTGGCGACCTCGCATAACGGCGCAGTAAGGAAGGGTCCTCTCGAGGCAGTCGTCGGACGTTCCCTCGACCCCCAGAAACCATAGAAATATGTTTGCAAGCGCGGACCCTAAACAGCGCGCCTATAGCAATACGTATTGCGCAACCTACGTGTAGCAAATTCGGTGGCGCAGTCTACGTGGTGCAATATATGCGGTGCGACACACATAGATATATATATATATATATACACAGGTACCTATATAACGCATATTCAGTTACCCACGTACGTACGCACGTACGTACATACATGCATGCATACATACATACACACAAACATGCATACATGCATGTATACACCCGTACGCACATGCATACCATACACATGAACATATATAAACGCACATGCAGACGTGCACTCATGCGTACGTGTATGCATACATGTATACATACATGTATGTATGCAGGTATGCATACGTACAACAGATATAAACATAGATATCAAATATACATGCAGAAATGTACACGTCCATGCATACATACATATTTACATATACATATACATATACACATACGGACCAACATACCTGTATACATGTATACACATACAAGTACACATGCACATACACATATACATATATATATAAGTAAACCTGTATACATACATACATGCATACTTACATACACACGTACATACATCTATACACACATACACACATACATGCATACATCGGAGGTGAGGGGGTGAGATCGAAGTGGAACGGAGAGCCCCCCTACCGGGAAATCGATTTCGGTTTCGTGTTCGTGCGTGCCGTGCGGGCGAGGCGAAGCTGCGTGGGCGGGCGAGAGAAAGTCTCCTGTGGCTGAGGCGCGGCCGGACCAAATGTCTCCCTTCCGGGCGGCCGGGGGCCCGCGGTGTCCCGCCGGTGTCCCGCTGGTATCCCGTGTGGCTGAGGCGCGGCCGGACCAAATGACTCCCTTCCAGGCGGCCGGGGGCCCGCGGTGTCCCGCCGGTGTCCCGTCGGTGTCCCGTCGGTGTCCCGATGATGATGATGTTGATGACGATGATGGTGATGATGATGTTGTTGTGCCATTTGTATGATCGACTGTGAGTTCGATAGTGAGGTCGAATGTGAGATCGATAGTGATATCGATAGTAATATCGATTGTGAGATCGAACGTGAGACCGAATGTCAGATCGATTGTGAAATCGACTGCGAGATCGATAGTGCGATCGATAGTGGTATCGGTAGTGGGATCGATTGTGAGACCGAATGGGAGATCGATTGTGCGATCGATTGTGATACCGATAGTGAAATCGTGAGACCGAATGTGAGATCGATTGTGGGATATTGTGAGATCGATTGTGAGATCGATAGCCAGATCGATTGTGAGATCGATCGATTGAGATCGATAATGAGATCGGTAGTGAGTTCGATTGTGAGATCGATGGTGAGACCGAATGTCAGATCGATTGTGAGATCGGTTGTGATATCGATAGTGAGTTCGATAGTGAGACCGAATGTGAGATCGATAATGAGGTCGAAAGTGAGTTCGATAGTGAGATCGATAGTCAGACCGAATCGGAGATCGATTGTGAGATCGATTATGATATCGATAGTGAGATCGATCGTGAGACCAAATGAGAGATCGATTATGGTATCGATAGTGAGTTTGATAGTGAGAACGAAAGTCAGATCGAATGTGATATCGGTTGTGAGCTCGATTGTGATTTCGACAGTGCGATCAATAACGAGACCGAATGTGAGATCGATTGTGAGATAGATAGTCAGATCGATTGTGAGATCGATCGATTGAGATCGATTGTGAGATCTTAGTGAGTTCGATAGTGAGATCGATCGAGTGCGACGTTGGTCCCTCCCCCCCCCTCGCCTCCTTATCACCCGAAGGGTGGTCGTTAGGTATATATACATCTATACATACTGGAACCACGCGCGTCCTACGCGCGCGCTTCAGTTCTAGTCGCAGATGAACCACGGGTGCCGCTGTGCCCCACTGTGGTCACAACGACGATTTCCAGCGTTTTCGGGCCCATGCCATCGACGCAAAGAAACGCGTAGTCAGAACGCTCTCGCTCTACCGGGGCCGCCCTTGACGGGTGGAGGGGGGAACATCTTGTGAAATGATGGGGTAGAGCGATGCCCCGCTCGCTCTGGCGGGGCCTGTCTGGCGCTTTGGCGGGGCCGCCCCAGGAGAGGAGGGAGAAGCACTAAAGCTGAGGGGTGACGGGGAGGAAGAGGAGAGGGGAGGGAGTGGAGGGGCGGACTGGGTTCTTTGCCCGTAGACTGGGTTTTCTCCCGGCGCCGCGCCGAAAAAGAGTTCATGTTGGTGTGGTTTTTGCACAGAAGTCTCGCGCGTCGGTTTTCGAAGGTGCCGCTGGCGCCTTAACGGCTGGCATCTTGGTTTCGCTGGGGGCACGCAGGGAAAGAGTCCATATGTGAACACTACTACTACTACTACTACTACTACTACTACTACTACTACTACTACTACTACTATTACTACTACTACTAATACTACTACTACTACTACTACTACTACTACTACTACTACTACTACTACTACTACTACTACTACTACTACTACTACTACTACTACTACTACTACCACAGATACTTCTACAAGTACGACTACTCTTTCTACGACTGCCACTACTACTACGACTACTACTACGACTACGAGTCGCAGCCGTAGTCGTAGTCGTAGTCGTAGTCGCCGTCGTAGCAGTAGTAGTCGTGGTAGTAGGAGTGGTAATAATACTACTGGTAGCAGTAGTAGTAGTAGAAGTAATGACACTATTCGCCGCAGTTGCACTAGCAAGCTCAATAGTAATTCTAGTCGTAGTAGTGGTAGTCGTGATACTACTAGTAGTAGTAGTAGTAGTAGTAGAAGTACGAGTGGTACGAGTAGTAAGAGAAGTGCGAGTAGTGTGAAGAATATTAGTAGTATTGATGATAGTCGTATTAAGAATGCAGTAAACGTAGTAGTAGTAGTAGTAGTAGTAGTAGTAGTAGTAACAGTCGTAGTAAGAGTAAGAGATGAAGAAGTAGTAGTGGTGATGGTCGTAATAGTGCTAGTAGTAGGAGGAGTGGTAGTGCTGGTAGTAGTAATACTCGTTGTAGTAGTAGAAGCAGTAGTGGTATTAGTACTGGTGGTAGTAGTAGTTGTTGCTGGAATAGTAAGAGTACTGCTACTAGTACTATTAGTGACAAGAGTAGCCGTATTACTATTATTGGGAGTAGTCGTATTAGTAGCCGTTGTAGTAGTAGTAGTAGTAGCAGTAGTAGTAGTAGTAGTAGTAGTTAGCAGCAGCAGTAGTGCAGGTAGTGGTAGAAACAGCCGTAGTAGAGGAAGCAGTAGTGGTACGAGTAGAAGTAGTAGTCGTAGTAGGAGTAGTCGTCGAAGTAGTAGTAGGAGTTGTAGTAGTAGTAGTAGTAGCAGTAGTGGTATGAGTAGTACTGGTAGTAGTGGTAGTAGTTGCTGTAGTAATACTAATACTGGTACTCGTATTATTAGTAATAGAAGTAGTCGTATTATTACGGGCCGTAGTGATGGTAGTAGTTGTAGCAGTAGCCGTCGTTATAGCAGTAGTAGTAGTAGCAGCAGTAGTAGTGGTAGTAGTATTAGTAGCAGTCGTAATAGCAGTAGGAGTTGTAGAAGAAGTAGTAAGTGTAGAAGTACGACTTGTAGTAGTAGTAGTAGCAGCAATGGTAGTAGTAGTCGCAGTAGCAGTAATAGCTGTAGAAGTCGTAGTAGGAGTCGTACTAGTATCAGTACAAGCTTGAATGCAATCAATAAGAGTAGCCCAATGGTACAAGCAACTCAGTAGTAGTCCAGTAGTAGCAATCACAGCAGTACAAGTTAGAGTGCAATTAGTAAAAGCTGTTGGCGAAGTTGTAATATGAATGGGCATTCCAGCCGTAGTGGTACCAGTAGTAGTAGCACTGGGAAGCGGTAGTGACGCAATAGGAATACGTCCAAACTAAGTCTGATGGTAGTACGAGGATGAGTAGTAACAATAGTACTAGTAGTAGTGGTAGTGGTAGTAGTAGAAGTAGTAGTAGTAGTAGTAGTAGTAATAGTAGTAGCGTTGGTGGTGGTAGTAGTAGTGATATAGTCGTAACCGGGGTCGTGATCTTGGTGATCGTACTCGGGGTTGTAATAGTAGCCATAGTAGTAGTAGTAGTAGTAGTAGTAGTAGTAGTAGTAGTAGTAGTAGTAGTAGTAGTAGTAGTAGTAGTAGTAGTAGTAGTAGTAGTAGTAGTAGTAGTAGCCGTAGCAATGGTAGTAGTAGGAGTACTAGTAGCAGGAGTAGTACGAATAGTAGTAATACTAAGGATAATAACTAGTAATAGTAGTAGAAATCAAAGTAGTAGTACTGCCGGTGGTTAGAATAGTAATAATCATAATAGAATGAATAGTAGTAGTAATAGTAATACTAGCGAGAGTCGTAGTAGTAGGAACGGCACTGGTAGGAGTAGTAGTCGTCGTAATGGTAGTAGGAGTCGTAGTTGTACTAGCGCTAGTAGT